GGCGGTGTACCTGAGGTCCTGGAGCCCCCATCCAGAGGCCAGGGACATTTGGCCCCAGACGCTCCGCCCCCAACTCGGGCAGGCCCCTCCCCTCCTTCAAGAGCTCAGTGCTTCAGGGGCTGTTCTTGGTCGTCTTTGCTATGTGGTTCGAGAGGCAGGGTAGGGGGCATGAGCCTAGGGCATGGCTGGGGCTTCTTGTTTTGCCCTTCCACCACCACCCCCGCGTGCAGACACGGGACAGACAGCGACCAGCTCCTCACTAAACCTGCTGCCCCACCCAATGGGAATTTTGGTGGGCACGTTGCAGGGGCTGTGGGTGGACACCAGGGATCGCCCTAGTGATGGGTCGAGGCCAAGACCAGGCCAGGGTTCCCACTGGGGGCTCTGCAGGGAGGGCTGGAGGTGCGACCTTCGCCACCTCCCCTCCCCAGGCCTGGGCTCCAGGCAGCGGCCCAGGGGTCAGGCTGTGGCTGTAGGAGGAGGAATTCTGAGTGAGGCTGGGGCAGCAGGCAGGATGGGGGAGCCCTGGAGCAAGAGGGATGTGTTGGAGCTGTGAGTGGGCGGAGAGTCTGGGCCCCGATTTCAGCAGCCCTATCGCCCCCACCCCTGCAGTCTTTGAGGAGCCAGAAGACCCCAGTAACCGCTCCTTCTTCTCTGAGATCATCTCCTCCGTGTCCGACGTGAAGTTCAGCCACAGCGGCCGGTACATGCTGACCCGGGACTACCTCACTGTGAAGGTCTGGGACTTGAACATGGAGGCAGGACCCGTGGAGACCTACCAGGTGGGCTGGTGGGAGGCACTCCAGGCCAGTGTTCCCTGAGAATTCTTGGAGGAGCGAGTGGGGACCTGCTCCTCATGCAGGTGTGGGTACAGAGGGTCTGGGGAGCCAGTTGCCTGGCCCAGGCGAGGACCCCCTGCTCTCCTCGCTGCACAGGGCCGGTCTCTGGCTCCCCACTGGCGGCAGCCGGTGCCTAGGCCGGAAGCTTAGGGCCCTGGGCCCTCGGTCAGGGTGAGGTATGCGTGGGGGCAGAGGTGAGCTCAGGCTGGGCAGTGTGGGTGCCGTCCATGCCCCTCCCCTGGGCAGATGGTGATGGTCTCTGAGTCTTGCACCCCTACACTGGGTGCCCAGGAGAGGGTACCATGGCAGACGGGGGGACCCCAGCTCCAGACGCGTGTTTGCTCAGACTTGAGTGAGAGAGGTGCTGTTTTCCACGGGGGTTCAGGTTTGTCCACCTGGGGCGGCGGGTGTGTGTGTGTGTGTATGTGAAAGAGGGGGGTGAGAGGAAGGGATGGCAGTTATTTGCTGCTTGGGGTTTGGGATGATGCTCTGTGTTTGCAGCCAGCGGAGGCCTGCTGGCACCAGGCGGGAGGTGATAATACGGTTCTTGTCCTCATTACATGAGAAAAGCACATCTCCCACTCGGACAATGGCGTCGGGCTGTGGGCAGGGCACAGCAGGGGAGGCCCATAGGTGCCCACTAGGTGGCAGAGCACACCGGGTGGCACCACCACCAGGACTGCCATCACTCACAGGGGAGGCCAGTGGCCCGTGACTCCTGTGTCCCAGGCTTCTTCTGGCGGCCAGCCCACCATCATGAGAGAGCTGGTCTCCCTCATGGCCACAAGCAGCTGCTGCACCTCTGGACACCACCCCTGCATTCCAGACAGGAGGGAGGCGGCTATGGGGGCTGCGCCACATGGGCTGGCATATGTCTTCTCAGGGTGGCACAAGAGTCCCTGAGACCTTCCCCAGGCTCTCCTTACATCTTGACTTCAGTTGGGGCACAGCACTAGGGGAATCGGGCTCTTCCATCCCCGGAGTTGAGGGGGAGGGAGAAAGGGTGGGGACAGGGCATCTCCATTTCGGCCTCTCCAAACCTCCATCGCCCTGGGAGTCAGATGGGTGTTTTCCTGCCCATTTGGTGGAAGAAAATGGAATTAAGTGACATGGTGACCCTGGTGGAATCAAGCCTCCCGCACCTGGCACCAGAGGGTGGGACAGAACACCGAGGTTGGAGCAGAACAGGAGGGAGACTTCAGGGACTAAGACGCAGACAGCTCACACACCTGCTCAGGGTGGGAGACAGGGCCCCATGGGGTGTTTGTCTCCTTCACTGCCCCTCACACTGAGGTTCCTCCCCCTTTCAGGGAATGGCAGACACAACTCGGCCCCCTGACCTGATGCCACTCTTGACCAAGAAATGGGGTGGGAGCTGGAAGCGCGGGAGTGGGGGGGTGGCTGGGAAACCTGGGGGGCAATGGAGGTGAGGACTCAGAGTGGTGAGGGTCATCTTTGGGGGGACAGGTGGTGCCCAAGGACTGGGGCAGGAGCCTGGGTGGTGGGCTGAGGGCTGGGGTGGACTAGGGAACTGAGGTTGTGACAGGCAGCTCTTAGCGGGTGAGCAGTGACCACAGAGAAGGTGGGGTGGGAGCTTCCCGGGTTGGGGGAGTTGGGGGCCTCCGTGTGGCAGAGTCGTAGCAGCTATGACTGCACGCTGGTCCGGGGCAGAAATCTGGGGCAACAGGAAGAGCCCTGCCCACGCAGCCGAGAGCCACTGAGGGCGGGCCGTGCACTCAGGTCTCAGGTGCACAAGAGGCTCCTGGCTAGAGGAGGGTGGCGGCCCTTAGGGAATGAGCTTTCTCTTACTTTAGACATGTGGCCGGTTTGCTGCCTCAGGCTGAGCCCCTCGGCCGCCCGTGCCCCCCCCCCCCAACTCCGCAGACTGCCCTAGCCTGGCCTTCTCATGCCCAGCGGGAGGGGCAACGCCTCAGGGACAGTCACCCTCCACAGGGCCCCCTTCTCCAGATGGGATGAAACAGGGTTCCCCAGGTCTGCCCAAGGCATAGCTAGGAGTGTGCCTCCAACTGCTGCCTGTCCCTGCCCACGTGGGGGTCCCTGCCAACTGGACTCAGCAGTCACCATGGGAACAGCCCACATCTACCACGGTGTGCTGTGTGACCTGGGCTGAGCAGGTGCAGCCTCCCCAGACAGCCTGCCAGGACCCCTCGCCCACCATCACCACAGTGGAGGGCAGGGCTGCCTGTGCCTGCTGTGCCCCCCACCCCTTTCCCTGCCCACCACCAGGTGCGGAGCCCAGGGGAGACTTGTCTGAGGTCTCCTGCCAGGAGGGGCGGGGCCAACACTGGGCCCTGCCCTCCCCTTGGTGTTGTGACGGTTGGTCTCTAGGCCCTGATCCTGACCCCTGGCTGCCGCCCTGCATGGCCTCTCCCCCAGGTGCACGAGTACCTGCGCGGCAAGCTCTGCTCCCTCTACGAGAATGACTGCATCTTCGACAAGTTCGAGTGCACCTGGAACGGGGGCGACAGGTGAGCCCGCCACACTGCCAAGCCTCACGCTGGGGCCTCCGCTCCCCGCGGCCTCACCCATGGCCAGAGTGCCCTGACAAGGCCCCTCTCTGCCGCCAGGACAGGAGGAGAACTGTCCCCAGTCTGTTCCGGAGCCCCTGCCCTTGCCCACCAGGGTCCCTGACCACATGGCCATCCCCCCAGAAGAGGTGCATGTGGGACGAGGGGTCTTCTTGGGGAGTCGTCATCACTGCCCACCCCTCCTGCCCCGAGATAGCCCCTCCTCTAGCACAGAAGCCCCACGTCAGACCCCTGGGGGGACATCTCTGCTCGGGGACGGCAGAGGTCTCTATCCAAGTGCCTGTCCTAAACACACAGTTCTGGGCTCTGGGCAGCAGGGGCTTATGGGGACACGGGGGGCTTCAGGGTCAGCAAGGGGCCTGGTGGGCAGCAACTTCAGCAAGGCTGTGGTTCCGAACTGTGAAAGTCTCCTTACTGAGACAGTGGGGGGCTCTGAGCTGGGGTGCTGAGGGACAAGGGCCGTGAGGACCCTGGGCCAGGACAGAGCTCCTCCTTGGCGCTGCTGTCGCAGTGCCAAGCCTGTTCCCTGAGGTGACCCGACCTCTTTGCCCCTGAGAGCTCAGCTGCGATGACCCTCTGTGGCCGTGGGGTTCTGGGTGGGGGTCGGGGGAGAACCAGGAGCACACGGCAGGGCAGTGGGACCTGCCCACCTGGGAGCCCATCACTCTGGGTGCACCCAGCCTCCAGGAGGGACGGAGGCTCGGGCCCAGGGAAGACACGCTTGAGGGTGGCCCAGGGCCTGGGGTGGAGTGGCGGAGGGGTGCTGTTAGACCTAGGAGGAGAGGGGATTTCAAGACTCCTCTCTGCCCCTCCGGGGGCATTTGTGGCACCTGAGTGTTCCCACCACCAGGAGGTGAACTGCAGACCACATGGGGGACTGCTGGTCCATACTGCCCACTGCTGGGGCTTGGTGCTGCCCCGATTTCCCCCAGGGCCTTGTTGACCACCCCCAGCCCCCACGTCCTCCCGGGGCTGCCCTGGGGCCTGCCCGCTCGTGCCTGACCCGTGCCTGCCCGCAGCGTCATCATGACCGGAGCCTACAACAACCTCTTCCGCATGTTCGACCGCAACACCAAGCGCGACGTGACGCTGGAGGCCTCGCGCGAGAGCAGCAAGCCGCGCGCTGTGCTCAAGCCGCGCCGCGTGTGCGCCGGCGGCAAGCGGCGGCGCGACGACATGAGCGTGGACAGCCTGGACTTCACCAAGAAGATCCTGCACACGGCCTGGCACCCGGCCGAGAACATCATCGCCATCGCCGCCACCAACAACCTCTACATCTTCCAGGACAAGGTCAGCTCCGAGATGCAGTAGGGGCGCCGTGCCGCTCCCGACCCCCACCCCGTGCCCTGAGCTGATGGCCCTTCCCAACGCCCCTTCACCCCTTCAAGTCATACCCCCAGGAGCTGGGGGCGGGGTGCCGTCCTGGCAGGGCTCGCAGACCGGTGTCCTTCCTGCAGGGCGCCCCGGGGTTTCTGGCGTGCACAGCCTCTGTGTAGATCATATTTGTCTCCAACTGCGCCAGGGTCCGAGAGGAGGGGACACAGGTCTCAATCCAGCCCTGTGTCCAGGCAGGGCCAGCCTGTGGGCAGCTGTCTGGACAGGTGGTTTCGGCACTTGCTGAGTGCCCAGCGTGGCCCTGGGCTCCCTCCCCGTGTCCTCCCTAAGCACCACCGGGCCGGGTGTGAGGTCCAGGGCCAGCCATGGCTACCACGCCTGTGCGCTCACACCACCCAGCACACACTGCTCGCTCCCCGAGGGTGGGTGGCCTTCTAGCTCAGGAGGTTCTGAAAAGAACCTGGCTGCAGAGTGAGATGGAGCAGGTGAGATGCGGGGCTGGCTCCAGGGGGGCTCACCCCTCACCCTGCCCTTCCAGGACTCCCAGCTCCCTTTGGGAACAGCCACCATGGTGACCCCTCACCTCACCCCATGTCCACACCCACAGCTACTTTTCAGATGAACCAAACTGCCTCTGAAAGTAAATTGCATGTTAGGACCACTTAGAATGTGCTTCTGAGGACCCAGTCTCAGGGGCAGCCTCAGGGGGCGGGACCGGGGGCTGGGTCCTTGTGGCCGAGCCCCAAGTTTCTTCCACACCAGCTCCCCGGTCTCTGCAGACGGTCACTCAGTCCCTGCCTGGCTCTCGGGGATTCAGGATCTGCAGCAGAGCTGCCGGCTCCTGCTGGGTCCTGCACAGGGTCCAGCCTTTTCTACAAGGGGCACCAGGACCCAGGAGGCTGCCCTGGGAGATGCTCCGGCAGGCAGCTGTCCACGCGTGTCAGAGCACAAGCCTACTGGGCAGCCGCACATGTGCACAGCGACACTGGCAGAGGCCGACGCCCGGGGGCCACTCTCGCTCTCCTGTCAAGAGGATGCAGAGCGGGGTCACTTGTACAGAAACCCCAAGAAACCAAGACCCGCGGTTCCTCGGACGGACACTTGGCATGGCCCTGCTCCTTCGAGGTCACCGGGCTCAGCGGGGGCTGGCAGCTCAGCCGGAGGCCACCGCCCACTAGCCTGCTGAGTCCTTGCCACCGCCCAGGTCCACATCTGCAGGGTGCTTTGTAGGAGGCTGCGCCAGAGAAGTTTCCGGTGCTTGACTTCTGTGGTCATGGCTGTTAGCTGGCCGGGAGGGGGGAGGAGGGGGAGGTGGAGGGAGGGAGGCAGGAGAGAAAGGAGGAGGGAGGAGGAGGAACCACTCTTGGGAGAAAGGCATGCATTTGGGGCCCTTGCACAGAGTGACACTCTCCAGCGCCAGTGCTGGGGAAGGAGCTGGGGGCAGGGCAGGAGCTGGACAAAGGGCCGGTCCTTTCTGTGTTTGGACTTCTTAGTCTCTTGACTGCCCAGCTGGTGGCCCGGTGGCCACGGATTTGCTGGCCTTGGTGAGATGACCCTGGAGGTGCGGGACATGCTGGTTGGGGCCCTGTGACTCATGGTTGCATTCTGTTGTTTTGTGGTTTGGTTTTTTTGGGGGGGAGGGGGGTGTCTCACAAAGTATCCAACTGTTGAATAAGATTATAAATATGTTAATACCAGCTTTTCCAATAAAATAAGAAATGTTACCTCTAAAAGGGGGCTCAAATGTTGTTGGTGTTTGAGGCCCGGCCATAACAGCAGGGAGGAGGGTCCCATCAGGAGCAACATGATGGCGGGAGTTGGGGGGGGGGTATGTGCATCGTCAGGAGAGCCGGGTTTGCCAGGAGGATTGACTCGTCCTGCTTCCTGGACGGGCTTTCTAGAGCTCTGACTTCATCGCTGACCAGTTGGAGCTAACCCTCAGTAGCTCCAGCTATAGGCTCATGCGTAACAACGTCTGGGAGGGAGGTGCTGGGCCTCGCTCCATTTCTAGGGGGTCGGGTCATTCGGAGTCAGAGCTGGGGATGACCCTGTACAGACATCAGCCCGGGAAACCCCGTGGGGCAGCTCCCCTCTGAGGGGGCCCCCACAAGTTGAGAGGAGCTCGGCAACCTCCTCTCAGTGCCAGGAAGCACAGCACCCAGCTCGGAAGCCCCCACTGACGGATCCTTGGGGCTTTCGGCAGGCGTGTGTAGCTGTCAGCCCAAATATTGGGTCTTTGCCCCAGAGCTGTGGAGCCCGATTAATAACCGAGTGGAACAGTGAACGAGGAAACGAGTTTTTATTTGTAGGAGGCTCAGCGACGGAGCACCCGTCCAACAACTAAGGCTGTTCGGTGGGTTCTTGAACGAGTGACATTATCCTGGTTTCTTCTGTCCATACCACGTGCAGGTGGCTACCATTCTTTTAGAAATTACAATCCATCCATCCATCCATTGTGTCCAGCACACCTGTACGTTTGTCGCCATCATCCTTCTCGAAACACCTTCCCTTCACTTGGGCCCTCATTCTCAGGACTGCCGCCAGGCCACACGAAGCCTTAAGACACAGAAAGAACAGGAAACTCTGAGCCCGCCAAAGAAGAAGTCTGTATCATTAACCTGTGCCGGCTGTCCACTGGCCACTCCTTAACACGCCTATACAATCACTGCGAAAGCCAGTGTGTGTGTGTATGTGGGGTGGGCGTGGGTGGGGGGGAATGGCCTCCAAGCAGGGCTCAAATAGTAACTAACATCCAAGACTCTCATTTCACCCTGGGAAACGATCAAACACATTGGCCAATGTATAGCAAACTAAGTCTACTTCAACATAGCTGCAGCCTTGCTCACTCCCGTCTGTGCGGCCCAAGTCTCTTTCTCGGCCCTCACACCCACCCCAAGCACATGGTGCCGGTCACGCCGTGAATGAGCGTCGGGACTGGGTTTGGCTGGCTGACACCTCATCCAGTGTCCCCCCTCAAATGTGAGGCCGCTGTGAGGCCAGGAATGGGGGCCCGGGAGGACAGTGATCAGGAGTCCACCCTGCCTGCGTGGTGGATGGCAGGATGACCCCACACGGGCATGTCCTTGGGCTGCTCTCAGGAGCCTGAGCATCTGTGGTGGTGGTGGACCTGGCCCTCAGCCCTGTGTCCAGTCTGGCCAGCATGGTAGGAGGGGGAGACTCGGCTATCCTCTCGGAGCCAGTGCTCCTGGCACCTCACATGCAAGAGGGACAGAGAGGTGACAGAAGATGGGTCAAGGAGGGGACACGAGGACTCAGGCTGCCATGGTGGCTCTGAAGAGGAGGGCAAGACAACCCGGGGATGTGGGCTCTGGATGACCACGGCACTCATCTCCCCTGGACCCTCCAGAAGGAGGCGGCCATGCCCACGCCTGACGCTGCCCTCGGAGAGCACCCGGGAGAATAGAGAGGAGCCCAGGGGTGGCGCTGCCGAGTTTGCCTGGGCAGCTCCCTCAGACACAGCAGAAGCCAAACCCAGACTCAGTGTGGGCCTCTACCCAAGCTATGTGTCCTTTGTGAGAAAGCTACTGCAGGGTGTGTACCATGAACCATGAAGAGAGAGTAAGCCAGGGCAGAACGAGGCATGCCGAGGCCTGGACACAGGGTTACTTTCTGCCCAGGGGAGCCAGGGATCCCCCTGGGATGTGGCCAGTGCCCCCTAGCCGTCAGAAGCCAACAGCTCAGGCCACGACAGACACTGCTCTGCAGCTTTAGGAGTCAGTCTTACGTGGGCAGACGGCACAAGCTCATCGGTGCTCCACTTGGCTGAGATCTTGGTGGCATAGTGGTCGGCAGTTCAAAACCAGCTGTCCCGAGGGAGAAAGACGAGGCTTCTACTCCCCTCCAGGTTTACTTACAGGGGGCAGGCAGTTCTGTCCTCTCTGGTGGGGCCACTGCGTCGGCATCGTTGGGAAGGCAGGGAGTGGAGAAAGACTGATTCACCAGGAACGGCTGTGGGCCGACTGACGGCTGTATCTGATCACCTGAAACCTGTTGGAGAGCCCAAGAGCCTGACTCCTCAGTGGGAGTCTGCCGTGACCCCTGGGTCTTCGAAGCCTCAGTGCCCCTGCCCTGCAGTGGGCCTGCATGCAGGAGAGCTCCAATCGCCCTGGTTTTCTGGAAGGACGGTCAGCAAGCCTGACCATGTGGTGCCATTGGGACCCAACACCAAGCCCCAGGTCCTCCAGTAAGACCCACAGCAGGGAGCTCCAGGCCAGCGTCACCGTGGGCAGAGCAGAACCACCCCCGCCACCACCACCACCACCCCAGTTTCAGAGCCTGCCCCCCTTTCTCTCAAGGGGTAGCTGGCTGCCGGCTCAAACCACAGATGGGGCTGTTAGCACAGCAGTGCTTTAACCACTGAGCCACCAGGGTTTCCGGGAATAAGCCCAGCCACAGTTGGAGGCATTCAGGGTCAGGGGTCAGTGGACACTCGGTTTTCGTGAGACTAGGCTTGGGGTTCGACTTCCCGTGGTCAGTGGGGACCCGAGAGAGGGATGCGCTCGGCCTCCAGGTCTGCTCCCGGGAAAGCTCTGGCCTCCACTCTGACCCTGGCTGCAGTGGATGCTGGGGCAGCACCCGAGACTGAGAGACAGGAGCGGCAAGATGGAGGGGCTGGGTGAGCGGCAGTGCCGTTCCCTGACTGCCAGCTCTGTACTTTCCTTCTGCCAAAGCCCTCTACTGGGGGGTCCCTGTCCCGGTGGCCCCGCTGGGTTCCTCCCAAGTCCATAGGGGACCCTGGGAGCTAGGTGTTCCCCCCCACCCCCACCCATGGGGAGGCAAAGGGAGAACCAGGGCCCTGATGGACAGTTCCATGTGGCTGCCCGGCAAGGTGAGGACCGGGCTCGCGGAGCTGGCATCCCAGGGGCCTGCAGCCTCTGCATTGCCTTGAGCCCCATTTCCTGCTTCTAAACCCAGTATAGTGGCACAGCCCTCACCAGGTGTCCCCCTTAGGGAAGCTGCCCAGCCCTGTGCCCCTTCCTCCCGGGGAGCTCTCTGGATGAGGGGCCTCTCTACTCTGGGCTTGGGCACTCCAGAGCCAGGGGCAGAGAACCAGGCAGGAAGCCCAGAGTCCAGCCGCCTGGAGGGAAACTGGCAGCAGTATCCGGCCAGGGTTGCGGGGTCTCCGCTCACATGGTCGCCTGCTGACCGGCATCCAGAGGCGGTTTCTTAGCAACCAGGTGCTGAAAGCTGGAGTGGTGGGTGGTTCATCCCCAACAGCAATGTCTTAACATAAAAACCAGTCTCTACCTGGGTGCTGTCAGGATCCCTCGGGGTCCCACTCTCCGAGGACACCCTGTGGACAACGGAACACGGCGATGCCTGGTCCCGCGCCGTCCGCAAAGGTGTTCCTGTTTGAGGCCCATTGCAGGCGCTGCACCAGGGCCGTCCTCTTTTTGCTGCCCCTGCCTGATGTCGCTCTCGAGAACATGTCCAAAGCACGTGAGATGGAAGTCTCACCATCTGTGACAGCCCGGGGGGACTAGAGAAACAAATTCATAGACACTCATGTGTGGATAAGAGCTTTTTATCAAAGAGCAATTGTATGTTGAGAAAACATCCCAGTTCAGTCCAGATCAAGTCCGTAAGTCTGACATTAGCCCATATTTGTAATACCAGACTATACATTCCTCTTCAGACTCATGCAACACATGCAATGGAAGCTCACAGGCCAGGGGGTGGTAAATCTTGTGGAGCCAGTGGCGGTGGAAGCATCTCAGTGCTGGCATGGGTCTCCACATGGCTCCTCCAGCTCCAGGGCTCTGGCTGCCATCGGCGTAGCTCCATGTGGCTTGTCAGCCGGAAGACGAAGCAGAGAGAGTGTGTCTCGCCTCCAGAGAGGAAGACAGGAGTTCCCAGACTCCTCAGGAGAAGGCCAGGCCCGCACAGAGGCCTCATTGACTATGACCTGACTGACAGGCTAGACCACCCCTTCACTTAAGTGGGCATGAGATTTTATAGCGGCCACACCACCCTTGCCTTTAAGGAGCGGTCTGGTTTCTTCCAGAACAGGTGTGCTGTCCTTCTAGCAGTCTGTGCATAGCACTTGAAACATTTTTGCCTGCACCATAATTCAAATGCATCATTCTTCCTTATTCAGTGTCCAACATTCACACGCATATGATGCCGTTAAAAACACCACGTCTTGGGTCAGGCGCACCTTAGTCCTCAAAGGAACATCCTTGCTCTTCAACACTTGAAAGAGGTCTTGCGCAGCTGATTTACCCAGTGCAATGCGCCTTTGATCTCTTGACTGCGGCTCCCATGAACACTGAG